AAACCAGCAAAGGACCAGCTTAAACCAGCATCAAAACATACTTAACAAGCATATGCTGGTTTTTTCAACAGGGTTACTCAAGCAGAATCATTATAAACTCAGCCAGCTGAAAAGATGTGAAAGCTGAGAAGACATTTATTGCTAGTGTCGTTCTCATGGAAAGACTTTATCCGTCTTAAAATCATTATCTGTCTTTAATCTAAATGAACTAAATTGTGTGTATCAGTCTGTATCACCTCTGCACCGAGTTTGGCTCCGTGTAGCCGCCCGTGATTTCTACCCTCGATGGTTCCCTGTCGAGTTCCCTCCTCAAACCCTTCCTGATACCCTTCATCATGAAACCTAAAACAAGAGAGAATTTATAGAGCCTAAATACAGAAAAGTGTAAGTTACAGTGACAGTCACTGAACACTGAGATGGGGTTAAAATGCCATAGAGTGACAAAAGTTTATGTGTGTAAATAACGCGCTGATTTTACCTATTATCTGCCATGATAATGGAGTCCAAAAAAATCATCACTACTGGACACGAAAGCCATTTTTACAAAAAGTATTTCTACCACCACTGTGAAAATGATTAGAGCATAAAGTCACAAAACTACAAAACGGCCACATATTATGTTTACATTCAAACATTTGTAAACAGTCAAAGGTAAAATGTGTCTTTATAATTAACTTAGCCAAAGCCTAGAGTCTAATTTAGCGTGTAAAAATTTTAAATTTTTAAACTGTACCCAGCATGGCTTTTCAGATATTACTCCTTGTCTCCTTGTAAATTGTGGAAAATGTGATTAAATATGTTTTCCTTTATTTTGTTGTAGACACAGCATTACATGACAAAAACCCCATGTTCTGGTCAGAGTTTTAGCAGTACAGCAAAGTATGGAAAACATGTAAATTTATAAAACTATTCAAGTCATTGCTTGCTTGCAGAAGACCCCACATAATTTATATACATATAGGCCTATAGCCTGTACTTCTATGTGTGCTCCATGCAAAATCTTCAGACTGAGTTTGAATGGGGCACTTTGGTTTAAATTACATTTAACAGCCTTATCTCAAAATGCAATTAGATACTACGCCAGTAGAGGGAGTCACAACGTTACAAAACGTTCCTTTCAATATTGTTCAAGGGCATCATGTAAGGACAGGCTGTAATATATTCTGCTGTTTTTCAGGCCCACAGATCTTTACTACAATACATCCGTATTTTATGGAAGTACCATGCAGTCAACAATATCAAACCATATCAAAGTTCTCAACAATTTGAATTAGAGTAGTTGAGGATCCTGCTTACAGTATATTTAAGAATGAAACACTGCTGTCTTATAAGTTGTGATTTGCTGTATATTTTGGCCAAGTAACTATTGAACCACATTAGCATATAAGAAATAAGTTTTAAGAACAATTAACTGTATATTTCAAGGTGTGTGTGTGTGTGTGTGTGTGCGTGTGTGTGTGCGTGTGTGTGTTGTTAGTGTTCGTGCATTCTAGATTTGTCTAGTAAATACTTTATTAGCTATAAAGTTTTGCACAATAATTAAAGCAAGTTCATCACAAACACATTAAAAAATAAATAAATTCAAGCTGCAGGTGTTGCACCATTATGGTTCATCTTTCAACAAGCTTCAACATATGTAGTGATTTAGTTTTTTCTGTCCATAACACTACATTTGTCCCGTGACTGTGTCCAGTGTGCCGTTTGCTTTCACTGGACTTTCTAACATTGTCTCTTTCTGAAAGTCTGGCCCTGTGTTCTGGTTTATGGCAGGACTGATTTTATACAGTCAACCTCTGGGTCGTTTCCGTAGAACATTCACAAGTGATTGTTCACTCCTCATCTTTTGTTGAAACTGGGACTCTGGATCACAATTTGAGAGATCTTTCCAAAAGGGTCCATACTGTCTATTTCAAGGTCCAACTGATGGTCCTGTTCAGGGTCAACGGGAAAGTGTTGTTCCCCTGAACGGTGGTTGGTTGGTTCCTGAGAAAGTGTGTTGACCATGGGCAGGAACTGAGATGCAGCAGTCCTGTCGTTATTGTGCAACTTGCTTTCAGCACCACCCAAATTCACAAGGGCTCCATGTTTGCTTGAGATGTAGATGTTGTAGCCATCTGGCATGATGCGTTCCAAAAAGGAGCAGCCCTTCTTGGTGTAAGTGTGCTGCAAAACGAAAGAAACAGCATGAATGCACACATATTTATGCAATATGAATGTCTCATCAACCTGCCCTGCAATGTGTTTTTTAAGTTTTTTTGATAGCTGTTTGCACACCATGGAGAGGTCAAGGTTGTTACTGCTGTTTCTTTTCAATGAGGTTTTAGCTTTGCAAACATACCCCGTCATGGGCAAAGGTTGCTGCTATATGACGCCACTCAAATCAGCGCATTTGGAAATTTTTGTGGGAATCATTTTTGTATGTTGTTCTGGTCAGTCAAGTAAATTGAAATGTCAAGTACTCTCAAGGCATATTTGCACTGTTGATAATTTGTGATCAGTTGTTTTAATTGGTTTGGCAGCTATTACAAATTTCAGTTCAGTATCAAATAGGGAAGGATAGTTTTCCAAGACTATCAATTCAGACAATTCATTTTGGAGTTATATGCATGATTACTGTTGTTCGTCCTGTCCTAAAATAATGTTCTTGGTTTGTAACGTCAGATGGGAGTAATGAACCCATGACCAGAACACAATGTCAATAAAGCTAGATGTTTGTGGCGAAATCGGCTTGTCTACACTTCCACAGTCATAAAGGACATCCTGAGGTGACCTTAGAAAAACAAGGTTATCTCTGACAAATGTGTGTAGTTTTATTATGATTGGTGGCAGAGTGCCAAAGTTCCACTCTCTACACTCTAAAAAATGCTGGGTTAAATACAACCCAGTGCTGGGTAAAATAGGGACTGTAACAAAGTTCGTAGTCACGGGAAGAAGGAGGCGGGAACCGGCCAACATTCAAAGGAAACTTTAATCAAATAAACACAAAATAGCACGACAGCCCCTCGCGGACGACTGTCGCGCACAAACAGAACCAAAACACAAAATAAAGTCCAGTCCAGGCCTGGTCCTCTCTCGTCCTTCACTGTCGTCACTCCTCCTTTTATCCTTCCGGAGCTCCTCCGTGGGACTCGAGACCGGTGAGTGGTGCAGGTGTCGCTCATTATCAATTACTCCACCGGCCTCGCTCCGTTCCCACTCGTCACAGGGACAAAGCCAGCAATTGGGCTGTTTTGACCCAGCGGTTGGGTTACCCAACCTTCTGGGTAGTAACCCAACTGCTGGGTCAAAACAACCCAATTGCTGGGTTTGTCCCTATTTTACCCAGCACTGTGTTGTATTTAACCCAGCATTTTTTAGAGTGTAAGAATTAAATTATTGCTATATGGATGTCACTGTTCTAAAAAATGTTTTAGAAAATGTCCAAACTTGTGGCCTCGGTTGACCTCTGTCAGTAAGACAATATAGGCTACCTGAACTCTATGAAATTATGCACATTATCCTGTGGTCAGGAATCTAAATCGTGCACTCTGAAGAATATCAGTTCCTATATGAATCAGAATCTTTCAGGTTCCAAGAACGTTATTCTGAACGTGCACCTACAAATAACCTTAAACCCTCAACACATATATTTCAGCAAATAGGGTTCTTTAGGTAGATATGCTTCTCTATAGAATTGCTAATACAAATAGAGAAGACAATTTTGCACATTTTATTACATCTGATTGTCAAACCTACCGATCCATACAATTTTCCCATTCTGTCCATGCAGAGAAATCGGGAGCTTGCAACCCCTTTAATGGCAACACAGCCCGTTTCCACCGGCCGTATCTCAACCAAACCTTTAGGAAACAAAATACGGTTTTTATAGATTGCAGTAAAAGTAAAGATTCTTGCTTTGTCTGAGCTGAAGCGAAAAGCTCTAAAATCTTAATTTAAACAGTATTGGTAGGAAAATGGCTCACAAATACGGGTTTGACATGAACAGGATAAAAATCAAAGATGCTCGTCAACTTCATTTAAATTCCAGTTGCAATGCTGAGATTTGCATCATATTGCGGAGTACCGAAAAGGCATAGTGCATGTTGCAGAATAATATAATGATGCATAACATATAACAAATTAATTAATTAATTAATTAATAATAACAATAATAATAATAATAATAATGCAATTCATAGAAAAAAAATCTACGTTATTAATATTTTCAGTACGAAAACCATAAATCAGGAAAAAAAACGTATTTTCATAGGATGTTGTGTGACGTCTATGTCTATTGTGTTTTTATGAATATACACATTTTGTTCAGGTCAAATGGAGTAACCAAGAAAACGCTTTAATAGGCTATTCATGACACAAAATTGCACAATATGTAATTGATATATCAATAGATAATATATAACTTGTAATATATAATATACACTCTTAAAAATGCTGGGTTTAATACAACCCAGTGCTGGGTAAAATAGGGACAAACCCAGCAATTGGGTTGTTTTGACCCAGCGGTTGGGTTACTACCCAGAAGGCTGGGTTATACATTTAACCAAACCGCTGGGTCAAAACAGCCCAATTGCTGGGATTGTCCCT